TTCCTTCTGCTTAGTACATGAGACTCTTATAACAGAAAGGATTCAAGTTAAGAGAGAGGGATAATTCCACAACATAAGGGCTTTTGAACATACCTTTTTCTTCCCTTTAAAGACAAACTTGGAGAGGAGTTTGTGATTAACTGTGGTTCTTTACAGAGACCTGACAGCCAGTCTAACATCTGTTTTTCATCTGAAGACATATTTGCTTAATAATAGGATTGGGCGTATACCAGTAACCTGGAAGATGAGCCAATGATTTTTCTAGAGTGCTCAAATCTTCTGTAATATAAAAGATTTTTTTGACTACATTCCTCAACTCAAGCCTCCTTCCTCCTGCTCATTGCTGGCAGTCTTTTACCTAAAAACACCTCAGTTGTGTACATAGTGCACTTTCCAGGGAGTAGAACTAAGACTTGGAACACTTGTAATAGGGATGTGGACTTGCCTGCTCTCCTGGGCTTCTGTTTTTTTAGATACTGCCAATACAAGCCCCTAAAGTGGAACCTGAGGATTTGTAGATGAAGGCATACCTCTTAGTCCAGACCATCAGCCTCTTTCCCAATATTCTGCAATGACTTTCTGGTTGGTCAGCCTGCCATCTACTTTGTCCACATCCACCCCACAACTATAGCTGCAGTATAGATTTGGGGTTCTTCCACAAATAAAAAGTTGATGTGTCTTTCACCTGCTTAAAACCAGTGAGGGACTTCCCATTGCCGTCGGGATAAAGTTTGAAGTCCTCTGAGTGGCGCTCAGGGTTCTTATGTGTCCAGGCTCTGCCTGTATCTCCAGCCTTTGTCTTACTATGCCTCCTTTTGCATGCTATGGGCTAGCTGATTGAATTCATGGTTTCCATTTCGGCTATGTTCCTTGTTACTTTAGATCTTTTTATTGTATTCTCTTTCCAGATTACTCTTCTTTTACACATCTCTTCTGAATATTGGTGGTTCTTTATCATTATGCATCAGTCTGATGAGAATAATGGACTACACAATAAGTCCCCAAGTTACAAATAAATTCCATGCTGGGGAGACATTCATAAGTTGGATTCCTTCGTAATCTGACAATGAGTCTTACATGGTACATCTGTGAATCTTAGAGAGTACACCTGTGAAAGTTCACAATTCAAGTGTTTGTAAGTTGAGGACTTCACGTATTTACAGAAAAGCAAAAATATGTTCTCTTCTGTACTCATAATTTTGAAAACATATTTAGGTTGTAGGAACTCCTGGCTTAAGAATTTTTCAAATATGGTACCCTTTTGTGGCATTTATCGCCCTTTGCAATTATTAGTTTACTTTTCTTGCCCACTAGGCTGAACGGGATGAAGGCAGGGAGATGTTCACTGTTACATCCTCTGGGCTTAGCAGGGGGCTTGGCACCTAGAATGCATTTGATACATATTTGAATGGATGAACAACAATCTACCATAAGCAGATGATGTTCTTTGGAGAAATAAGATATGTATGTTAGAATGACAAGCAGAAGATGGAAAGGTAAAAGAGATATGCAGCTGGTGGACATTCTCTGAGAGCTCAGGTCCTGAGGTGGCTGGCTGGGCCTCTTGGGAAAAGTTAGTTTATGAAGGCCCTTGGGTTGACCTTGAGCTAGAAAAACTTAGTGGACTCATCTTCTAGAAATATTTTGTCAAATTGTTAGAGGTGATAAAGGAGCAAAAATGACAAGCTGTAAACCCTGGATGGTTCCTGTCCCTCAGGAATTATTAGAAGCCCATACAATTATGAAGTGTCAAGAGAAAACCCCCCATTTCTCTTTTATTTCACTCTAAGAAATAGTTTTTAGTATTCATTTTATTTTAAGCACTTTGATACATATTGAGGATATCTTGACAAGTTAAGTTTGACAAGGTCTCAATCCCTTGGTTCTTGGTTACTGGGTAACATGAATTTGGACCCGTATTTTGAATTTTTAAATTCTTTAATCAATGTCTTTGGTCAGGGTCAGCTTTAAATTATAGAAGAATTTATTGAATATGACTCAAGGTCTAGAGTTAGGCAAAGTTTCAAATTTTTAGCCCTGCTTCTTTTTAAAACTTTTTTTATTAGTATGTATTTGTCATGCATGTTGATCACATTCATCATGAGGAATTTATACCTGTACATAATATGTCTTAATTCTTACTTCCTTGTACCCCTCCCTAGCCTACAAGTCCTCCTTCCCTCCCCATTTACAAAAGCTTTGTTTCCATATTTTCCTTCCTTCCCTTTTCCCTCACTCTCCCTCTAATATGCAGATCTCTAATATACTTACTACAAGGAAGCATTCTTAGAAAATTGTTTTCAGTTTCATAGTTTTTCTTTCACATTTTTTCTCACTAATTGAAATTAAGTGTTGAAAATTAGAAATTTCAGCTTTGTAGCAGAGCAAAAAAATTGTCCCTCAGAGTTCTGTCTGTAAAGCTGTGTGTTAACTTTTTTGTGGATCACAGAAACCTAGAATGCTAGCTCATCCTCCCAGAAAAATCTGAACTTTTTCATATATGTATGCATATCAGTCCACAAACTCAGTTCTCTCCATGATTCTGTTAAGAAAGTGAACTGGAAAGAAGTGAATCAGATTCCCCCATAAGATTAACATTGATCCTGATAACCATGAATTTGATTTGGCTTTCGTTCAACTAGATTTGCAACCAAAAGTGTGAAAGAATCAAGTTTGTGAACTTGTCGATCGATCGATTGATCTGTCTGTCTACCTACCTACCTAATCTTTAGGAGTTTCCACTAATTTATCCTAAAGCTATAAAAGCATCACTTGCCTCTGGAGTACAAACTCCACAGATAGACCCTCAGCCCAGGCTTGGATTCCCTCTCATGGGAGAGCTGCTGAAAGAAACTCCTAGTTCTTGCAGTCAGGATGCTTTTTTTAAGTCTTATTTTTTAAGGCCTAAGTTCTTAAACTAAGAATTGGCTATCTTTGATTATTTTTAATGAACTTCTTAATAGCTGTTTGAAAAGAGAAGGTTAAGCCGGGTGTGGTGGCTCACGTCTGTAATCCCAGAACTGGGGAGGCTGAGGCAGGAGGATCCTTGGGAGTTTGAGACCAGCCTGGGCTACAAAGTGAGTTCAAGGCCAGCCTGAACTGCATAGAGACCCTGTCTCAAAAAGACAAAAATAAATAAACAAATAAATAAAAAATAAAAAAGAATAAAGAGAAGTTTAACTCTGACTTTCTTGTCTATATTATTTTTGTATATCTCAGCATAAACTCAGAAGAGGCTTACAAAAGAGATTTTCTGGGTAGGGGAGGATGCCACATCTTTTCCTGTTTCCTTTATGTCTCTTTTACCCTTCTTAGGGTTCACTGAGCAGGGGCCTTTTCACGGGTTTCCATAGCAGTTAGAGGAGACAGAACAGCATGGAAGTCTCTGGTCTGGTCTGACTATGAAGAAAACAATAAGGGTTTGGAAAACTTTCCAGAGTCGTTCAAATATAGGACTGAAGGAAGAGGGGAATAGGATTCATGGAGGAATTATGTGCGGGCCATGCAGCTTGAAGGTGGGTGTCTGCAGCCTACACACTGTACTGTACTTTATTTTCTCGGCTCTTGTGCATGCATTCCAGAGAGCGAAAACAACCGCCCAGGCTCCATTCTCACACTCACATTAGGGCTTCTGAATCCCTTGTTTCTTATAGACCAGTTTCCTTTTATTTCAGTCTATAAAAACGCATGTGTGAGACTGCCTTTCCTTCAGTCTGGAAGCAGCTGCTCTTCCCGAAGGACCCTGATTCTAGGTAGACCCATGGAGTGCCTGTAGAGTGAAGGCAGAAGTCAGAGAGGACTGAGGACTGGAAATAGCGTGCTGCTGCTGCCTTCATTCATAGCCCTTAGTCTTTTTCCTGGATTATTATCAGGGCCTTCCAACTGTTTTCCCTGCCTCTGATCCAACTTCCAACCTGTGCCCAAAATTTCATTCAAAAATACCCATTTGTTGATGTTATTTCCCTGTTTAAAAGCTCTCAGTGGTGTTACCCTCTGGATAAAGTCCAAGCTTATTTGTACAGCTTGCATAGATCTGCAAGTCCTGGCCTTCTCCACTTCTTTATCTTCTGGTTCCTTGCACTGCCCACTGTGTACAGCCAGTCTCCTGTATTCTTTAAATATGTCTCCCAGGCACTTTCCTTCCTTTATTCTTATGAAACCCATATCTAGCCAATCCTTCCTCACTTTGGCTGCCTTTGGAACTCCTTTTCATCCTCTAATATTCAGCTTAAAAGCCAGCTTCTAGTTGAACACCTCATTGGAGTTCTCAGGTCAAGTTTCTTTGCCTACTTCTCTGTGTTTTTGGGATTTAGGGTAGTATAGTGGTTATGGGTATGCACTCCAGAATTGGACTCCTGGTTTTCACCCAAACTTGGCTCCTTCCCAAATGTGTAATGAGGACAAGATTACTTGCTGTCCTCTATCCCTTGCCTTAGACACATAAGTTTTATCTGTGCTGGGGATTGAACCTGAGACCTTATGCATGCTAGGCAAACTCTACAACATTGCTAATCCTTGGGGATAATTTTAATAAACTCTCTGGTTGTTGTAAGAATTGGAAAGGGCAGTATTTGGCCTTAATTTGCACTCAGCAAATGTTGGTTTTTCATATTTCCATGGTATTTTGTACTTTTACTAGGTTCTTGTTACTTTCTTTATAAACACTTTTATGTATCTGTCTTACTAGACCTGTGTTCCTTGAGGACATCTGTAGATGTTCATTATTCCTGGCTTGGTATATAAAAATTTGTAAAGAATATTGATTGAATGGATTACTGCACTTTGATTTGCCTTCAAAATGAAAACAGACAGAATAGGGAATGCTTAAGATAGGATCTCTGGGTGATCAGGGATTCACGGTTGGTGTGACCTAGATGTCAGCTGCTAGTCCTCCTCTGTGCCTGACTATGTTTTTGTTTTTATGGCAGGGCAGGAGATCATGAAGAAATTAACCATACCCTGTCACCACATTCATGTTTTGTTTTTGTTGTGAACTCTAGGTGACATGTCTGAGAGCAAAGCCAAGAAGATTGAAATCAAAGATGTAGACGGACAGACACTCAGTAAGCTGATCGACTATATCTACACTGCTGAAATTGAGGTGACTGAAGAGAATGTGCAGGTAAATTCAGCCCAGCAGTGGTTCAGTGTACTGATTTTTTTTTTTTGGTATTATTTTTACATAACTCTTACAACAATCGGTGGTCACTAAGGAGGAGAGTAAAGCTTCAGAGAAGTTAGGTGGCTTCTGTTAGATCAGTGTCAGTTGCTGAACCATCTGATCCCTAAACTTCCGCCTGCCTGGTGCTGGTACCCATGTCCTCCACCACTATGCAGTAATGTCTCTGAGTGAGCTTGTGCCCTGGGAGTAGAAAGTCTTTAATTAATGTCACTTGAGTATCTTGTGAAGGAGGAACCAGAAGATTTACTGACCTTTACTCTCTCTAGGTTATTACCTCATCTTAGGGGTTTGAGTGTTGGATGTTGTTAACATTTTTCTCATTTCAATCTTAGTCATCCAGAATACTCTCTGAGCTCAGAGAATTGCCAAGCATGAGAAGTGTGGTTGTGAAATGCATTGTCTATGCCTTTTCCCTCTTTCATTCCCACCTCATCCTTGGCTGAATGGAGCCTTGAGAAGAAGAGCCACTGGGGACAATGCTTCTCTGAAAAGTGCATCAGCATCTTGCCCCAGTCAGGAAGCTGGTTTAAGAGGTCACTTTCTGCATCTGTAAAGTGAGGGTAGAGGACTGACCTCTCAGCAGAGGTGGCATTCATGCTGTCTGCCTTAGATGTGTTTATCCTTCTTCCTGCCATGGCTTCTCCGGCAACCCCCAGTTCACTTCCTTCAAGTATTAGTTTTCTGACTTGTCAATCAGGAATGATATAGAAACCTTTCTACTGGGTAATTCATGAGTTATAGACTTGTGTTTGAATCCTGGCTTCACTGTTTTCTAGTTGAATGGTCCTAGCAAATTACTCTGCTTAACCTTCTGTTTTTTTCTGTAATATAGGTGTAATAATACCATTTAACCTGATCATCAAGTTTATATAATGATTAAATGTATTAATGTAGGTGAAGTGCTTAATGGTAAACACTAAGTGTTGGCTATTGGTACCTAAAATGAGGAGGTGGCAATGGAGTCACGCATTTGTGGAAGGTTTTGCCAGGTTTTTTTTTTTTTGCCTGTGTGCTGAAGGGAGCTGAAGGAAAGGGTCTAGATAAAGATTAGGATCCATGGTAAGGGGTGGGGCAGACACTGAGCCAGTCTGGCTTAGAAGTGTCTGGTAAGAGGAGGACCGTTTGGGGTACAGCCTGTCTGGGTATACCTGGAAAGCGTGGCAAGACTGGAGACCCAGGGCAGATGCCAGCTTTGCTCTGTGGAGAGGTCCCTCTAAGAGATCTGCCAAGCACCCAGTGGAGGTAAAGCGTGATCTAGGAGGCAGAGGGCTCAGGGGCTGTCTCATCCCTCCTCCTTCCTCATGGTAGACAGTGTGTGGCTTGTTTTATTCATTCAATCTCTCGCTCAGCACACACTTTCTTGAGCTCCTACTCAGCACTCACAGACAGTCTGGACAAAGAGAGTGCTGTAACAGGCTGTGTCCCCAAGAAGCAGCTGGTCTGAAGGTGGAGACAGTTGGCTAAGCAAGCGTGTATTCTACGGTGTGGTGGGGCTGGGGTGCGGTGCCCAGGAAGCAGGAAACAGTCATTGCTTCCTTGATGAGGACAGCCATAGTGGATGCCCCATGCTTGGGTCTCATCTTAGAAGGTGACTGGTTGGCCAGGCTGCCTCTGCTGACTGCCCAGGTCCCCACTTATCTATGAGGCTCTTTGGGGGCCTGCTGTCTTCATCTGTGAGTGTGGAGTTGGGCTGGCTGGCAGGTTGTACCTAAGAGGTACTTTCTACTGAGAGGCACTGTGTGGGATCCTGAGAGAACTGTCATTATTTGAAATCAATACAGTATACTGACTACGCTTTTCCTACTTCCTTCTCACTCTCTGCTATACTTTGGTCAGGATGACCTTGGGAGACACAGAACAACATCAACAACAACAACAAAAAGCTTGAGAAGAGAATTTAGATCAAACTTAGATTCTTCACCCTGCTATTACTTGTCTACTGAGGCAGCTGCTCATATGTTATACATGAAGACAGTGTCTGCTGAGGATTTAGCGCACTAAGGAGGTGAACCTGGGGGCTGGCATAGGGGTTCTAGTAAGGTCGGAGATCAGGGCTTGACTTAATGACCATGAGAGCTGTGCCCTTAGTCTCTTGGGAAGACCCTGAGCTGGCCGCTGATGGTGGAAGCATTAGCAATTCTGACACTTATTTATACTGACTATAAGCCAGGCATGTGCTAGTTGCTGCATGTGCACTATTTAATCCTCATATCCATCCAGCACAGTGACTAAGATCCCTCTTTTACAGTTAAAGAAACTGACCAAAAAGGGAAAGTAATTGCCATAGTCCCACAGTGTAAGGGGGAGGGTGGAGAGCTAAATCCAGTTCTTTACCAACTCTCTGTGCCTCTGTGGTGAACTCTAGTTTCCTGTTAAATGAATGGTCAGAACCTTGGCTTCAGCTTCTCATGACAAATCATAATAGAAACTGACATTAACCTTAACTGAGCGCACTCTATGTACCAACCACTATGTTCGGCTTTACATGTATTTTCTCATTTGATCCACAAAAGCCTTGAAAGCAATCCTATAATTGCCCTCACTTTACTGTACAGGAGACAGAGGCAGGGAGATTAAGCAATTTGTCCTCAGTCACATGGCTGGTAAGTGAAATCAAAATGGAAAATGATACTTGTAGTCTCAGGGCTATTCTGCTGGCTTTCCTGTTCATCTATACAATGGTCTCTTTTCTGTTCTGTCTTCTTTCTCTCAACAGGCTTTAACTTAGCACTGTTTCTGTGCCAGGTAGCTGAAGCAGAGGCCCTGGCTGGCCCCGTCATCTGGTACTCTGGCTGGTGCCTCTACGAGCCTGGCCCTGCCTCCCTGGAGGTCCAGGAGTAGGTGCTTTCTGAGGCAGGGCATTTCCTTTTGTTTTTGCTAAAGGAAGCAAACTCTGTGACGGGATATCCTTTGCTGTGTTTTCATGTTATCTGAGAGGAGAAAAAACAGAAAGGGCCTGCCATGGAAAAAGGAGGGCTGGCCATTTGCAACCAGAAGAGGGTACTATGAATTCTCTGCTGAGGCCACTGCAGGGCCTGTCTTCCAAGGTATAATGCTGAGGTAGTGAAAGGTAAGACTGAAGGGTTTTTTAAATGGTGATCTTCCATTCTGAAGGGAGGCCTCAGTCTCCTCCCTCCAGGGTCCATGAAGTTCTGCCCTAGTGGTTCTAGCCAGTCACACTTTGAAGCTGAGGGCTGGGTTTGGCCACCTAGTTGTAGTCTTGTTCCTGCTGCCATCTGAAAGAGTAGTTTCAAACAAGAGAAGATAAGATGAAGTCCTCTCAAAGCCCTGCTGATGAGAAGGGAGGGAACTGAAGATCTTTATGTCACTTCATGGACATTTTTACCCCATTGGGTTTGTTCTGCACTTGGATCCGGAGCCCATTGCTTCATTGAATTGGACCTCAGCTTATTGCTGGCATGCACGGTTTGAGCAGTGATATATCTTCCAACCTCCAAATCATCTTTCTCAGTGTACTAATTCTTTTGACTTCTTCATGCCCTCTTGCATGAAGCAAATAGAGGGAAGAAAAGGACCTTTGACTCTCACAACCATCTCGGTGTAAGATTAAAGAGATGGGAAAAGCAATTAGAGAAACTATAAGCCGTGTTCAGTTAGGAAGCCAACTCAGAAATGCTGTGGGGGCAGGAATGGACCCGAACAGGACAAGGGGTGTGGAAAGGTAGAAAACCTCCTAAGTTTTGCCTACTAAGTGAACAAATAGTAGGGACGTTAAAACCTATATGGGGAGCTCTGTCCAGGGAGGTTTTAAAAACTGAAAGTGTAACATAAGAAACATTTAGTATTATTCTTCTCTAGCTGGTGGTTGCTTGAGAATGTAAAATCCAAGCCATATTGCTGTCTTCCAGGTGAGGAAGGGAGTGTGATCTTGCTGAGACTTGGCAAGGAATGCGATCTGGGGGTAGGCTGAACTCTCAGAAATCCTGGGAGTTACAGGTCAAAGGTAACTTCATCATAGACCAAATAAGTGTATCCCAGTTTGTCAGAACTCAAGGGTCTCATGGGACATGGGACTTATGCTAAACCTGGTAAGGCTTCGGAACCTCAGGGTGATTGGTCAACTTAAGGCCCTTAGTTCAGGCTTTGTAGCTGGTGTTGATCGGGGAGGTGCCATGGTGACCATGTGGGGACTTAGAGCAGAGCTTTCCATTTCTGGTGTGGTTAATGGATCTACACCTAGAGTACTGGCAGAGGCTAATCTGGTCCTGAAATCTATTTGGCCAAGCTGAGTAAACTCACAGGTTAATTGACTTTCCCAGTTTATGGCTGCTCAGTGGAGCTGGTGGCTGTCTATGGGGATAGAGCTCAGGTGGTTAGATTTGGATCCTGGCCAAATTCACCAATGGTCTACAACTCTCAGGCAAGGGTGATTTTTATCTTCCTCAGGAATAAATCATTGGGCCAGAAAATACCAAGAACAGAGTGCTGACTTACTGCTCTCTGGCTGGGGGCATGAGCAAGTGGGAGAGAGAGAGAGTGGAGGAAGGGAGGAAAACCTAGTGTTCTAGAGCTCAGCTGTTGTGAGGGTGAAGTTTAATTAAGCTGGAAGGTAGGTAAGTCTCTCCTTGATGAAGGGAGACATAGCTCAGAGTGTGGCCACTGATAGTGGGGGTCTTGATGGTTCCCGAATGTGGATAATAAAGGTGAATCAACTGTCCCAGTTTTAGTATAGAAAGTCTTTGGAAACTCCTCAACCCTAGGCAAACCAGGACAGTTTGTTTCCAGTGGAAAGACCAAGTACAAGCATGGGCAGTGAGGCAGAGTTTTTGGCTTGAGCACCTGGATACAATGGGAGTCAGAGTTAATAAGGGCTCAGCACTGTTTTGGGCAAGGTCAGGGTCTAGGATTTAAATCATAAAAAAAAAAAAAAAAAGACTTTTGTAGCGCCCAAAATAAAGAAAACAAATGTGTCCACCGGCCTTGTCTCCTGGACAAGCCCTCGTGGATGGGAACAGCTGTGGTCTGTCTGGCTCAGTCCCTCAGTGAGCCAGGGGAGCAGCTGAGAGCAAAGGCTTGAGTCAGGAGGAATGTTTGGGATAAATGGATGCTGGTGTCTTTAAGTTACACAGCCTTCAATCTCACTGTTCTACTCTGTGATTCCTCTACCTCCCTCACCCCCAATTTCTTTTTAGAGACCTACTCTGACTACATGCTGCCCCTTACATGGATAGCAGAGCTGGAGTGGAGAGGGGCTTTGGTTTTCATTCTGTGCTTTGTGACCTTAAGAGCAGGCTTCCGAGGCTGTGAGAAAGCTCTGAGGAAACCTGGCAGGGGTTGGCAGGCTCAGCACCCAGCTGGCCTGCTTCAGCCAGTCTTCCCTGGCTTGCAGGAAAAACACACGGGCACACACCTGAGCAAGAACTATTTATGTCCTCCCGAATACTGTATAAATACTCATGTGGCTATGACCTTTTAAAAGAAAACTCAGCTCTCCTTTCTCTGAAAATGTACCCAAAGATGTTCTTTCATTTTTATCTGTTGGGTAGTGGGTAATATAATGTAATCTCCTGAGTCCCAAGGGATTTGAAAATGACTCTCATGCTGGTATACTCTAAGCTCCATACAAGGAGGAACATCTTGTCTATTTTGCTTACTTTAGAGTCTCAGAGCCTAAACCAGTGTGCCTGGCATTTAGACCCTCAGCAATTAAATATTAAATGAGCTAAGGAAAAACTCAAGTACCTTTCTGAGTGAAGACAGTATACTAAAGGTTCCAAGTTGCAGTTCTCAAACTTGGATGACCATTAGAAACATTTGGGCAGCTTTAAAAACACCCGATGCTCAGGCCATGCTCAGGTTATGCACCACACCTATAAGTTAATCTTTTAAGAGTTGACACTTGAAACATCAGAATTAAAATCTGCCAGATGTTTCCCATGTACAGCCAAGTACGCTAACCTGTGCTATTGAGTGTGCCTGTGTGTGTCTGTTCTGTGTGCATGTGTGTGTACACACGGGCAGGGTTTTGCTGTGCATATTGTGTTTCAGGGATCAGTAGCTTCAAATATCCCCTGAGTTCTCCATAAATCTCTGGGCCCTTAGGCCTACCCTAGACCTATTGGATCAGAAGCTGCATTTTAATAAGGTCTCTTGGGATCTGGGGAAGCTCCCTTGGGAAGCACCACTGTAGGGATACATGCTTGTGTCCATGAAGTGGAGAGTAGTGGGAAATAAGGATGGACTCTAAGCTGGGAAGTTTGAGTTTACTGAGTAGGCAGTAGAGATCCAAGAATTGATCATGAGCATGGGAACATGGTTGGACCAGTGTGTGAAGGGGATGAGTGCCTGTCAGAGGAATCCAGTGTTGCAGAGTGTCATCTTCTCTTGCAGGTGCTACTCCCAGCAGCCAGCTTGCTACAGCTCATGGACGTCAGGCAGAACTGCTGTGACTTCTTGCAGTCTCAGTTGCATCCCACCAATTGCCTGGGCATCCGCGCATTTGCAGATGTGCATACCTGCACGGACCTTCTACAGCAGGCTAACGCCTATGCAGGTAGGTAATGGCTGCTGTTCCTTTTCCAAATTTGTAAAGATAATCACCTGGTCTGTTGTGGACTCAGGAGTGATTCTGAGAGGCGGTCTCTGCTGTGAAGTAGCTGTGACTTAGAGAGACAAGGCACAGGTGTAAAGATAATTAACATCAGGCAAGTTAACTCATTGCCAAGAGGAATGTGATTAATTTCTAGATGAATGGCATGGACAGTAGAGAAAGGAGATCTGAGAAGTCTTGAGGGGTGGAGGAGCAAATTGAGTTATGTGTTGAAATAGATCTTCTTTGTTGTTGTTTAAAACACTGTTTGGTCAAGGTGTTCTGTAAACATATTAAAATCAAATACTATTACCAGAGTTCTCTTTCTTTCTACACTGTCTTGCTTTCTAGAGGCACTCTTTTCAGTCCTAAAAGAATTAAAATGCAAGTTCTGATCCAGCTAAAAGCTACTTCATCTGCCATGTACCATTATTTGTCTAAGTAATTTATGCATACTGTTTATTTTTGATGCATTGATTTTGGATCTGAGTGCTGGCTTCTCCAGAAAAGTGGAATTGGGCTTTCTCTACATACGTACACTCTCAGCTAATTTTTGTTGTCCTACTATCAATCTCATGGTGGAGCTCAATCATGTATAGTATTACAGTTAACCTTTTTAATTAGAAATTTTTTTTTCCAGAATCAAGAAGGCTGCTAGTAATCACCTTTTTCTTTTGCATAGTGAGTGCTATTGTCACTAACTCTTGTCAGATATAGCTTATTAATCCTCTATCTGATAATGTCTTGATTCCATTTTATTTTTCTGAGGTACATTCTCCCTGGTACAGTTTGTATTCCTATTATTTTAATGGAACTTTGAGAGGAAGTAGAAATGAACACAAATATTCACCCCATCATGTTTCTCAGGACAGAAATCTTTGTTGTCATTTATTTTAGCTGTAGGGAAAGATCATCAATGATGTAGGAAATAGGTTTGGTCATTTTAATTGATAGATTCCCTCATGGCCACCTTCCTTCCTTTGCAAAAACAAAACAAAAATTTAAACACTTCCAAATCCCTCACTTTTCCTTTCAAGCAAACAAATACTGTTACACTACTGTTCTGTCTCTTGGCTAGCTGGTGTCTGGAGATGAGCTGAGGACCTGGTGGCTGCCCACCTGCTCCTCTCCGTGTTGTATTAGTCCTTTGGTCCACCAGGCAAAAAGAATTTGTGTTTCTTGGTATCCTTTGTTCTCTCATCAAGCCCCTGACCTCAGGAGCCTGCACAGATGCTCATTTTCTTCTTCTTCTTCTTCTTTTTTTTTTTGGATACCTGTGATTGAACTCACAATCTCATGCTTGCCAGGCAGGCACTTGTGCTGCTGAGCTAAATCCCTGGCTGCTCATTTCTTCTTGAGGTTTGTCAGTGAGAACACACATGCAACCAGTTGTTAAGATGGTCTGGATGCTGATGGCATTTTTGAAGGACGTATCTCAGTAGCCCCAGTCCTGGATCCTGCTGATTTGTGCTACCTCTGAACCTTGACTCTCCTATTTTTGGTGGTCCCTCTTATGCTTAGCTTTCCTTGCCTATTCCCTACCATTTGTACTTTGTAAAGGGAATGCTTTCTCACCCAAGGGAGCGTTCTTTAGCCTGGCCTTTGAAGAGGCCACTTTCTTGAGAGATGTGCTCAGGGTTTGCTTGGGCATGAGCTGAAAGCTTGGTTAACACGAACATTTGAGTTTTGGGGAATGTGCTGAACCCTTATCTTTAACACAGGCAACCAGGCCTTCTAGCCTGGCCCTGCCCCTCTTTCAACATCTGTGTTTCCTTTCCTTATTCCTTTTTCTATCTAATGGTGAGGCGCCTCCCTGTCTGTGTGGGTATGGAGATGATGTCTTTGGGACCAGATCCATCTTGGTGACCCCTGGTCGTAATGCCATTATAGATATTGGTTTCTGGCCACATTATGTGTGTGTGTGTGTGCGCATGTGCATGTGTATAAATCTGTATGTAGATTCCCAGATTAATTATCATAGCATTTAATAAGCTCTTACTTTGGGTCATACCCCATGCCAAGCATTTTCTGGGCATGCTCTCAGTTAATACATACAATTAATGCTGAAAAAGCCAAGGCACACAGAAATGAAATAATTTGAGGTCATACAGTAAGTAGTGATAGAAGCAGAATTCAAGCCCAGATAGTGCTGTGTCCTGAGGCAGTGTTTATAACTACCGCCTTCTGTAGGTTCCAAGCCTAGTTGGGATATTGTATGGCCCTATATGAGCCTATAAGAGAGAAGTATGGCTGGATAGAGTTGGCGTTTTCCATTGAAAGTGTGTTCCTGGAAGCTTTTGCATGTGGTCACCAAATCCCAATCACAGACAGTAAAGACAGATACAGAGCTGTCAGCTAGACACAGGGTGTGTAGTCACTTTGGGGCAGGGGAGCACCATGTGAGTGTCTCCTCCTCTTTCCAGTTGGGCTGCTTCCTCCAGGACATATGCAGCCTATTTCTCAGTGTGTGAGTGAGCTCGCCTGGTTTCTCTGGTTCAGTCAGCATGATCTTCAGGCCGGAAGCCTCCTCCCTGTCCTCTGTGGAGCCTGTGCCTATCTCCTGGATTGTTTTCTTTGCAGCTCTTTGCTGTGCACAACAGGATGGTTGTATTTTTAAGGTGGGATGAGGATGCAAAAGTGAAGACCATTAGAAGGAAAAGACGTTAGAAGAAGTAAAGGTAATACTTTGTGGTGCTAGAGTAGGAAGTTGAAAATGACTGTATTTGCTTACTCCCTTGCACTGGGGTGGGTCTGCTTTGTTTTCTTGGTTTTTTAGATGGAACTTGGTGCTCTCTGCTATCGCTACTTCTTGAGGCAGATTTGGCACTTAGTGACACTGTACACGTAGAAGTGTATATTCCCCTAGTGTCATGCGCAAGGGACAGTGTTGGTCCTGCGATTAAAGGTCCCCTGGGGTGTATGCCATGCATTGGAAGGTATTTTAAGCCTAGAAATGATTAGAAGCAGAATCAGAGCAGCCAACACGGTGGAGCTGAGTGTCCCTGGGCCTGTTCTCTCCTGTGTGGTGGAGGTAGTACATCCTTCTCTGTTACTAGCATGGTTTGAGGGTGGAGCAGGGCAGGAAGGAGTGTGTTCTACAGAATGAGATACCCCTGGCATATGTGCTAGAGCCTTTCTACCAGCCTCATCGTCTGCCCTGAGAGAGCCTCAGAGCTGGGTCTAGAATGGAGAGACAGGAATCCTCAGGTTACTATAAATCTTTGGGTGAGAACCACACATACTCTGAGGGAGAAGGGTTATTTTCAGGGCTTTTTCCTTAGTTTCTCTTCATCCAGATGCACAGGCAGGTGTGCTCCTAGCTGGCTCCCCAACCCTCCTCAGTCTCTGGTCAGCCAGGCACTGCTCCCCTGTCTGTAGTAGCTTTGCCTCTGAAATGTGCTCTTTTTCCTCTCTAATGAAGCTTTCTTTTTATAAGGTATCCTTATTGCTACTTTAGTACAAAACCCATCCCTGATCATTACAGAAAAAGCTGACAGGGAGCAAGAACTTGAAAAACACCAGAGAGAACCCAGGCAGCACCTTGGTATAATTCTTTTGAATCCTTCAGATCCCTTTCACATGCATATTGTACATGCATACTTTCCAGCTTAAAAAATCCTTAGTACTGTATTCTGAATATTTTCTTGTGCAATATATATATATATATATATATATATATATACCAATATTTTAAAACTTCAGAGAATATATTCAATGAAAGCAGCTTACACTCATGCAAACAGTACACAAGTATATTGGGTATCCCTAGAGAATTTATATATTATGATTTTTAACTGATGTAAGGAGAAGCATTTTGTGTTCATTAAACCTTAAAATCTTGGAATTCTTTTCAGATCCTCAGGTATGGCTCTTTTTATGTTTTCTATTTCATATGAATAAATGATAGTTTATTTAAATTGCCCTCGATTGATGAACATTAATGTTTCCAATTTTTCCTTTCATAGAAAATGATTGAGATTATCCACAATATTTTGGAGTATATTTGATAGTATACCTACAGGAGATAACCTTTGTAGTATCATTTTGGACTAAGAGAACATGCATATAGAAATTTGTTAGGGCTGAAGGTATAGCTCAGTGGTGGAGCATGCTTATCTAGGGTGTCTGGGGTTTGATCCCCAGCACCAAAACAAAAAATGAAAAACAAACCAAAACAAAAATCAAAAGAGTGCCAAATTTCTCTTTTGGTTCAGGGTGCTTATTTTTAAGTCTAGCTCTTCCTTTCTGTTAAGTCTTCAGCCTCCCTGGTGAGAACAGACTTTGTGGAGGTTGGAGCATCACCTCCCTTCATTCAACAGCCTGTTTGATTTCCTGTGTGGAGCAGCTCTGTCTCTTCCTGCTGCAGCAATCTCTCTTCCTCTGGATCCAGATTCCGTCTCAGGACGCCCTCAGACTATGGCTGTGATAGATGTCACTGTTTATGGGAGGAGGCCGGTGCCACCTGTAGAAGCTGACGACTCAGGCCCCTTCTGCTGGGAAGGGGGACTGAGTTCCCCAGTCCTCCTGGGTGGCAAGTAGCTGGGAGACCGACCTAGTGTTTTGCACAGCCTGTTTCTTCTGCCTCATTACTGTTTCCAGCACTGCTTAATCGTTAACCTCAGAGGCCGGGGCCCAGGTTTATGGGGACTTTGTTGTTTGGTAATTTGGATGGCCATGTGCTAGGCCATCAACAGAGCTGGTTGGGAGGGATTTTAATAGGCCCTCATTAATGAAATAGCAATTAAAATTCTTTGGACATGTTGTTTACATCAGCCTGCCCAAGCTAAACTGAAACCCTCCAGCTGCAGGATGGAAAAGCCATAAGATTTCATGTGCTTTTAGAGAGAAATGGGCGTTTTTCAGTTGATTGGGTCATTTGAGATCATGGAATGAAATAATTAAATTAAGGGCAACAGAGAGGTTTGTCAAAGCATTTAAAAAACACAAACCTCTGATGCACTGAG